AGGAAGTTCCTGTGTTACGTTAACGACCATAAGCACGGAAGTCCGAAATCGATAGTTCGTACTACCAGTAGTGTTAACTAAGGGATTGTTCATTTCGCAGCCGACACGACATTAGAGCACTATGGCCAAGAGTTGTTTAGACAAGTATTTCCCATTTCACTGTCACGATCAATGGCAACGCGAGCTAAACTGTAAATATCGCTAATGCTGGCCAAAATCGGAGCCACCTGTAACAATACACTCGGATGTAATGTGAGCATGTTCCAGGACACTCGAGACGTCGATTAGGTTCCCTAATGGCCGAAGCAGTCCCATCACCAGATCGATCTTGGTTTCTAAGCGTACAACACGGCAGCTCTCCGTGTCCAATAGGAAGGTCATAGTAATGCCAAATTCGAGGCGCTTGCCTAGGAGGCGTTGGTACAGCGAACCGTGCTGATGCTCTGAATCATAGTCGTCGTAACGGTGCTTCATGAGGTGTGGGAAAATGTACCGCAGGGCAAGCACTGACACCGTCACACTTAGAGTAGAGTTGGCAGCCATCACTCCAGGCGCCACTGCCTCTATTCGCTGGAGATTCAGGTGAGGCTTGCCAAAGTACTGCGAGAAGTACTGAAGCTGCTCCAATAACGCATCAACCCCAACCAAATTTCCCATAGCCGCGTCGTGAGTAAAGGATCTCTCCAAGATGGCCAAGATCTGCCGGGTCTCCGCTTCCGTCTTGATATCTTGAGCAGTAGCCATGCGCCAGGGCGACTTGAAACTACTTTCAAACAAGCTGAAGACCTCAGCCACGACGCGCCATGGGCTCTGGTTGCTCCTCTTACGAGAGGACAGGTCCCGATACTTGCGCTTCAAACTACCAACCTCCTGTTGCAACTGTTCCACACTTTTCTCGAGTTGCGTTTGAGCGTTGCGCTGTCTGTCGCGGTAGCGAGCTTGGTTTGCCCGGCATTGTTGACGACGAAGCGCCGAGCTGTAATAAGCTGACATTTTTCGCTTCCCTGTCGCCCTCGTTGTGCCTGGGCTCATCGTATTGGTAGCATTGTATGAGCTTGGCACCGGTCGGGGCACTGCACCTCCCGTTGCCGCATCAATGTTGTGCAGCTTGTATCCCAGAGCTCGTGCGACAAACGGAGAGACCATCGTAGCATCAGCCTTGATTGGTGTTGGCAGTGTTGGAATCGTGGCTCCTGCAATTCGGGCATGGTGACGTCCAACATGAACGCGAGGTAAGACTCGGCCAACGATACTGTCGCTGAGGCGGATGGACGGGTTTTCGAGGTGGCTTGTCGTGGAGAACGACATTTTGGTAATGAGTCCGTGGCAGTAAGTGAGCGGATCCTCTGCTCAATGCTCTAACTGTACCGGCACTGGATAGCCAGTCGCTTACGGGACTGTGTCCCCGATCGTAAACGCCCTCCGGACGTAAACGCAACAAGTGGAAGTCTCCTCCACCTTGTTAATAGTAACCTGTACCGTCGTCTGGATCACATCAGGAGTTACGAAAGACTGCTTTTCGTCCCCCGTGACTAATCTGTGGCATACAAAGTTCATAGTACATTCCGGAACCTACATTCAAGGTGAGTGCGTAGGATCTGGAGCCGTCCCGTCATCGAGGTGAGCGTGATATCCCGGTGAAAATTGTGGACGTGGACAAGAGTTTTATAGTTGTGAGGCTGCAGTACTGGTGCTTTTGTGATGCTGACGTTGCAAATCGTGAGAAACGAGCGGTTCGTCAACCTTGGTTGCGCTGGCGAAACCGTCCCGTATTCCTGCAATCGTGCAACAGCCAGCACTCGAGACAAGTAGATGTTGCTCACTCCAGCTCCTGTCGGGGTGGGGTATTTCCTGCCTACTTTGACTGGAATGCCGTGGAAACATCACTTCGTGGTAATCTACTCTTGAAAATTGGAATCAAGCAAAATACGCCGCTACCATATGATGTCTCGGAGGCTTCAAAAGTTTTGAATCAAAACACTCGAAGCTATGGGCCAACGTTGCCTTCTATGCGACTTATGGAGTTTTCTCTTTAAAAA